TGCAAGAGGCCCCATAGGAAGAGGCAATGATGAACAGACCTAAATACGATGAAGGAGCAAGCTAGGGTCCAAGTGTTTTGGCCAGAGGGAACAACAAGTGGTTATTCCTCTCTGGGCCTCAGTTTCCTTGTCTGCAAAACGGGCATCATGAAAATACCCCTCGTAGGGCGCCTGGGTGGCTCAGTCATTAAGCCTCTGCCTTTGGCTCAGGTCATGATCCCAGGGTCCTGGGATCGAGTCCCACATTGGGCTCCCTGCTCTGCCGGAAGCCCGCTTCTCCCTCTTCCACTCACCCTGCTTGTGTTCCTGCTCTCACTATCTGTCAAATAAATAAGTAAAATCTTAAAAAAAAAAAAAAGAAAATACCCTTCGTAGGACAGTTGTGAGGGTTAAGTATTTCTGTAGGAAGAGTACTTGGCTCAGTAGCTAAGATCATAAGTGCTCAGTAAACATATAACCTGCAGCCTTCAGTTAGCATTTGGGAAATAGTGTGGCGAAGCGTAAGTCTACAGTGTTTTTGCCACAAGCTGTTATGTGACCAGGAATAAGTCTTTGCACTCTGAGGCTCAGTTTCTTCTCAAGAATGAGAACGAGAACAGAAAGTGCTGAGCCACGGAGGCAGATAGACCTGGATTTGAACACGGGATTTGCCACTTCCAAAATGTCATCCCACTGTACCCGGTGTCCTGCTCTGGAAGCTGGAGGTGACACCAGTGTTTACCTCCTGGGGGTGAGATGCAGTGAGGATTGCTGGCTTCGTGCTTAGGAGAGGGGCACTTAGTAAGAGCACAGTTAAGTGGTGGTTTATTCGCGTGTGTGTGTGTGTGTGTGTGTACACATTTTTTGTAAGATTTATTGTATTTAATTTGGGGAGGAGGGGCAAAGGGAGAGAGCTTCAGGCCGACTCTGCACTGAGCACGGAGCCGGAGGCGGGGCTCCATCTCATGATCTGAGATCATGACCCAAGCTGAAACCAAGAGTCAGCCGCTCAACCAACTGCGCCACCCAGGTGCCCCCCCCCACCACACACACACACACACTCTTTTTTAAGGTGATTCTTTCCTTTTCCCCTAGCTGCTGCTTCTTGCCCCCACATCAGCCTCCCACCTCTCCACCCTACCCAGCCTCCCACCCTAATATGTATCCTGCCACATTTGACTCTCACACATATCCAGGGGCTCCTCTGTGGTGTTAGCTAACAGCTTTTTTGAGGTCTAATTGACATGTCATCATATCATAAATTTAATTTTTTTTAATTTATTTTTTTATTTTTTATTTTTTTATTTATTTATTTGAGAGAGAGAATGAGAGAGAGCACATGAGAGGGGGGAGGGTCAGAAGGAGAAGCAGACTCCCCGCCGAGCAGGGAGCCCGATGCGGGACTCGATCCAGGGACTCCAGGATCATGACCTGAGCCGAAGGCAGTCGCTTAACCAACTGAGCCACCCAGGCACCCCCAATTTAATTGTTTTTAAGATTGAATCTTTCATGTGCTGCTCTTCTGCATTTTGTTTTTCACAGTGTGTCAGTGGTCTGAGAACATCCCTGCAGGTCCGCTAAAGCATTCTTAACCCCCTTACTTACTGTGTTAATTATGTTACTTTCTTGGGTGAGCAGTGCATGCAATTGAGACAAAATTCAAAAGAAACAAAAGCACCCAATGAAGAGCAAGTCTTTGCTCCCTGCCCACCAGTGGCCCTCCCCAGGAATCCCTCCATGGCGAATTCCTTAGGTCTGTCTCCTTACGTGACATCAGACCAACAGACGGAGGAGGGTGCTTTTCTTTATTTTTAAATCACTGCTAAGGGCACATCACACAGTTTTAGACCTCGGCTTTTTCACTTAACAGTATATCTTGGAAATGTTTCTATACTGGTACGCTATTTTTTTTTTTAACTTATTTTTCTCTGAATTGCTAATGTATTCACAGGATTCCAAAAACAGTAATAGCAGTCTGATGAAAACTTTCATCCAGCCTGTCCCCAGTCTACCCAGGTCACCCCACCGCCCCCTATCTCTGCATGTCTTCCAGGATTCTGTATTGTACAAGCAAGTGGGGGGTATCGATGCTTCTCCTACCCGCCTTCTTCCCCTCAAGAGAATCACTTTCCTCGAATACTTGGCATTTGTCACTCAGTAGCTTCTTGTGGATATTACTCCATAGCAAGGCACAGAGCTTCCCTGCTCTTAACTATTTTGTTTTTCTTGCTACTCGGTAACGTTTCCTTCTATCCTTCTGTCCTTTCTCCTGGCTTTAATTTTTCTTCATAGCAGGTAACGTAATTTGACAAATGTTTCAGGTCAGTCTGTTGACTTGCTTAGCATTCTTCTCTCCTCACTAGAATGCAGACCCCATCAGGGCAGGGTTATCCTCTGTTTGCTTCTTTGCTGTATTCATTGCAAGTGCTTGTGGAGTGAGTTAATCCATCCTGTCCTCACATGCGTCCACCTGGCACCCTGAGGAGACAGGGACCAAGCAGGACTGTAGTGGAGGCGTCGTGTACCCGCATAGGCCCCAGGGGCCTCTGGTTCCGCAGAGAGAAGCAGCTCCCCTGCTGATGCCTTCAGAAGTACTTGGAATTAAGAAACACAAGCAGACGCATTTTGCTTACCTTTACCTTGGACCAGGGCCCTGTTCTAAGTCTTTACAAGAATGCCGTGTTGATTGAGCTTCACAGCAGCCCTATGGGGGCACTGGGAATGGCTCCATTTTAGAGAGCAGGATATTGGGGCCCAGAGGGGTGAAGTTCTTTGCCCAAGCCTCAACCTGAGGACTGGCGGAGGTGCTATGGGAGCCCCAACTGTCCTGGTCCTGGGTCTGTGGGTGCTGCTGGAAGAGGGGCGGACGGAAGCCTCCCCCCTCACTCCCGGTGCCTCCCCCCGCCCCAGGCACTGCAACATGGTGCTGGAGAATGTGAAGGAGATGTGGACCGAGGTCCCCAAGAGCGGCAAGGGCAAGAAGAAGTCCAAGCCAGTCAACAAGGACCGCTACATCTCCAAGATGTTCCTGCGCGGGGACTCGGTCATCGTGGTCCTGCGGAACCCGCTCATCGCCGGCAAGTAGGGGCCTCCTCTCCACCATCAGAATTCCCGCCCTCATCCTGCGAAGACCTGCCCTTTGTAATGGGAATAATAAAGTCCTGTGTTTTTTCTACTCGCATCTGTTCCCAGAGCCTTGCGAGCAGGGCAGACTTGGGGAAGGGAGGCAACTGGGTGTGGGGCCGGGTGCTGGGGTCAGGACCTCTCTGCCCCTCCCAAGCCTCACTTTCCCCATCTGTGAAGCGAATGGGGTGGATACAGAGAGCTCCCTTTCCTTTCCTAATCTTTTCTATCTTCTCTTCATCACTGTGTCTCTCTCTTGCATCTCTCTCTCTTCCCTCCCTCTGTCCCTCTCTCAGTAAGTTGAGGTCTAGCTCAGAACTTCTTGCAGTCTTTTTCTCCATTTGTTCAGTCAGGAAACAGCCCCCCAAGTGCCTCCTCTCTGCCAGGTCTGTGTTGCAGTGTTGCTGGGGGCCCGGCAGCACCCAGGAGAGCCCTGACCAGCCCTCACTGAGAGGAGGAGGAGGATCTAGTTGGAGCGGCCAGTACCCAAATACTGGTAGCGATTGTGGCTAACACCTGCCGAGCTGTTAGGGTGCCAGGCCCCAGCCTCTGTGCTGATCAGACTTCCTCTCAGCCACCGTGAGCAGACACTGTTAATGATGACCTCCATTTCCAGAGGAGGGAACTGAGGTACAAAGAGGGGCAAGCACTTCCCTGGGGCTACCCAGCCAGGAAGTGGTGATGGTATAATTCAACTCCACCCTGCGCCAGAGCCTGGGGCTTAACCCTGAGCTCCACTGGCCTCAAATTACAGCTTCATTACCCCTGGGAGAAATTCTCTGACAAATGTGGGGAGATAGAGGTGGGAAAGGAGGAGGCTGGCTTATTGGGGGGGGATAAGGAAGATCCTGGTCTTGCTCTGATGCCCACACATTGTGCTCTCCCCCACCCATGTCTCTGTGTCCTATCTCTGCTTGGATCTCTTACTCTGTTCTCCAGATAAGACCAAACACCAGGTGGGTGCAGGAGTTTGCAGGCCTCAGATCAAGATAAAATGAGATGTTTGATACACTGAGTTGCGGAAGGCACATCCTGAGTTATTCCGTGAGTCCATTAGTGACAGAGCAAGGGACCCTGTAGGAGGAGAAGGCTTGACACAGGGCGACAGCTGTGAGGTTATAAAGGTGCACGTTTACTGAGTGGCCCACATCTAATGGGAACAGTTATCTGGTGGGTAGATACCAGAGTCATCCATCTTACAGATGAGACAGCTGAGGCCCAGAGAGGGTAAGTGACTTGCCCAGGGTCACTCAGGAAATAATGGAGCCAAGTTATCTGTAATGTGGGGGGCAATGGTGCCGCTGCAGGAGACCCTCCTGCCCCGGTCCCCGCCCCTGCAAGGATTCAGTTCTTGTGCAGGAGCTGGGACAGCACAAGCGCTGGAATCAGTCCTGGCTTCAGATCCCTGCCCTGCCTCCCCCTTCTTGTTGACCTAGCCTCCCCAAGAAGTGGGAATTGGTTTTCCCTGCCCTGCGGGCTGGCAGCAGAAATTCCAGCCTCAGGGACCTTGCTTGGCATCAGTCTGAATTTCCTCCCGTCTTCGCCCACCCCTGCCTAAATGGTTTCTAATCACCTCTTCCTTCATTGCGTGAAAGCGAAAGCAGAGATTGCAGGAAAAGCATGCACCGTGCACCAGGAACTACCCTAAGAATAACTCACCGGAATCTTGCAACCATAGGATGTAGACACCATCATTATACCCATTTTTCCAGAAGTGGGAACTGAGGCACAGAGAAGTTGGGAATTTCTCCCAAGTCACACAGCTAATAAGTACCCAAACTAAGTTTGGACCAGGCTGGTGTCTGCAGTCTTACTATTCCTACACTACCTTTTAGAGAAGCAACCCTCAGAAAATGTTTGGCACATACACATAATTTTAATTGCATACACTGTAAATAGTTAAGTATCGGGAGATCACATGAACAATCCCAATAGGGGTTTCTCTTAGGCATGGGGGACAGTGGCGGCATAGCGTCCCGTGTTCTTGTGGCAACACATGGCTGAAGAGATTGCAAGGCCACCACGGGCAGGCAGCCCACCTCTCATTTCTCCTGATGGCCTGGCCAAGATGGTCCTCCCACCCACCTCCCATACACAAAAATACATGCTTGATTTACAAGGCCCGTGCCTTAGAGCACCCCCCCAAACCCATGAGGGGGGCCCAGCACAACCCCATGCTTGAAGGACTCTCCTCAGGGGCTATGGGGCACATCTGTCCAGGGGGCTGGGGACCCTAAGGAAAACAACACCCAGGTACTAACTGAATCTAAGTGTAGATCTGAGTCAGGGATGGATTTAGGAGTGAGAGTCTTGTGTGTGTACAGGTGGTCCAGATCCAGGCTGTCAGCTTCTCCCCAATTCTCCCAGTTCCTCTGAGTCCTGCCCTGAATGGCTCCTGTTTAGTCTACACACCAAGTCCTCCTTTCTGCCCCCCCACCCCCTGCAGTGCTGCCCCATATTTCTCTTTCCAGCTCTCACCTCTCCTGTGAGCTCCAGGGCCTTTTCCCCAGCCTGACATGTCCCAAGAGCACTCCTGGCTCTCCCCACCCTGAACCCCATCTCCCTCTCTTGCCATCATCCCAAACCTAGGAGTCTTCCTTGACTTCTCTTGCTGCACTTCCCTCGTGCGAAACGGTGGCAAATCCTCAGTTCTACCTTTAGAAGAGCAGCGCCAGAGTCCGACCACTTCACACCCCTCCGCAGCTGCCTCTCCTGCCCCCCCAGTAATCTGTTCCATCACACGGCACCGTCTGTTCCTGTCTTTTCCTCAGGCAGCACCAAGCTTTTCTGCCCTTGCAGATGCTGTTCCTTCTGCCTAGAATCTTCTTCCCAAAGCGGTCTCCTTCACCCCTTGCAGGCATGGGCTTAAGTGTCACCTCCTCAGAGATGCCCTCCTGGACCACCCTAGGCTCCCTTCTAATTTTTCCTCATTAGCCATTCCACAGTGTGTGTCTAACGTGATGTTCTGTCTTTGCTGCCCCCCCCCCAATTGTGAACTGTGAACTCTAGGAGAACGGGGACCTTGTTTCCCCCCTCCCACCGCACCCCAGTTTCTCCAGCGCCCTCCACACTGGGCCTGGTACACAGTAGGCTCTCAATAAATACGTGCGATCTCGAATGGACACAGGATCCCCGCTGCCTAGCAGTAACTTTCCGAGACCCGGCTGGCCTCGTCCCCAGGCCCTGGGAGGGTCCCCAAGGACAGGCCGCGGTCAGGGGCGACCCGGCAGGGGCCTGAGCTCGAGGGCAGGGTCCCGGAGGCGCGCTCGGGCGGCTGGCGCTGCTCTTCCCCGAGGCTGTGGCGCAGGCGACGGCGGTGCCAGCAGCGACGGATCTCCGACTGCACCTGCAATGCGATGGGGCTCAGAACGTTCCCTGCGCTCCCGGCCGTTCCCTGCGCGGCCGCCAGAGGGCGCGGGCGGCGAGCCGGCGCTGTCCCTACCTCCTTGTTGATGAAGCAATACAGGACGCTGACCAGGAAGCCCTGCCGGGAGGAGGCGCGAGGGTTAAATCGAGAGTGGGGGCAGGATCGCAGACACCCCCTGAGTGAGCTTGGGCCCTTAGCAGGTCCCAGACCACCTCGGCTGCCGCCACCCTGGTCCGAGACCATTTCAATCACCCTCTCCCTGGCCCCCCCTTTGCCCTCTCAGGTTTGCTGAGCAATAAGAGAGTTAACAGGGAACCCTGGAGGTGGGCTGCCTAGATATGAGAACCGCTTCCCCACTTCCTGACCCACTTGGGCAAGGGCTTATCCCCTCTGTGCCTCAGTTTCTTCATCTGGAAAATGGGGTCATAATAGAGTGGTGGTTGTGAGAATTGAGGTAATATGCAAGAAGCTGGAATGCCTGGCACGTAGCGTTAAACTATTCTTTTTTTTTTTTTTAAGATTTTATTTATTTATTTGACAGAGAGAGACATAGCGAGAGAGGTAACACAAGCAGGGGGAGTGGGAGAGGGAGAAGCAGGCTTCCCCGAGGAGCAGGGAGCCCGAGGTGGGGCTCGATCCCAGGACCCTGGGATCACGACCTGAGCCGAAGGCAGACACTTAACGACTGAGCCACCCAGGCGCCCCGCGTTAAACTTTATTCTTAAGCTTGTTATAAGTTTGTTATATATATTACATATTATTAATAAATTAATTTTAAGAATTATCTTTAAGTATACATTTTACATATAAACTTCTATAAAATATAATTACTAATAAATTACTTGATAATACAGATCAGTTATTTATGTTAAAATCTTACAAATCTTATTATTAATTTCCATGATCCTGTTAAAAATCTAACTCTGGGGGCGCCTGGGTGGCTCAGTCATTAAGCGTCTGCCTTTGGCTCGGGTCATGATCCCAGGGTCCTGGGATCAAGCCCCGCATCGGGCTCCCTGCTCCGCGGGAAGCCTGCTTCTCCCTCTCCCACTCCCCCTGCTTGTGTTCCCTCTCTCGCTGTGTCTCTCTCTGTCAAATAAATAAATTAAATCTTTAAAAAAAAATCTAACTCTGATCACATCCCTCTGCTCCCGTGGCTCCCAGCTCCCTCAGGGAAAAGCCAAGGTACTTACTTGGCCCAAGGATCTGCCCAGGTACCTCACCTCTCTGTCCTATCTCCCCCTTGCTCCCTCTGGCTCCCACCGCCTAAAGCATGTTGGATATCAGGGATCTTGCACTTGATATTTCTCTTCCTGGAACATTTTCCCCAATTATCTGCCTGGCTTGTTCCCTCACCTCCAGGTCTCTGCTCCAGTGTGTTCTCAGTGAGGCCTTTACCCCCTGTCTACAGCTCTATATCTTGTCTGCTCTCTTTCCCCCAACCTCCAGCTTCTAGGCACATCTCTCCATCTGACACTCTGTTCATTTTATTTACATAGCATGTTTAGCATCTGTCTCTCCCACTAGAGAGTAGGGACCATTTGGTTCTTGGCCCAGAATAGTGCTTGGTACACAGTAAGAGCTCAGTACATTTCTGCTGAATTTAATGAATGAACAGCCTTGTGAGGTGAGATTAGTATTGTTCCAACTTAGAGATGAGGAAACTGAGGCCCGACAAGGAAAAGCAGTATGGCGACTAGGGTCTGGCAGGCAAGTGCAGGGTTGGCCTTAAATTTTGGAGTGCCCCCTTACATTTTGCACTGTAAGCACCTCATTTACCTCACCCTAGGTGAAGGCCACAGAGCTGCGAAGTGGCAGAACCTGAACTTGGCCCTAGCCCTACCCGGGCTGCAAAGCCCTCCATCTTCACTAGGTGGCAGTCTGCTGAGGCTGCCTGGTCTGTTCCCTTGCTCCCTGCTGCCTCCCCAGCTCAGGACAGAGCTAGCTCAGTGTTTTGCGCAGAAATGTACGAATGAACATGTGAACATGTTCACACCCCATTCAGTGCCCGCATCAGTGGACAATTGCAGACCCCCTGCCCCTCTGGGGAAGACGGCCCCAGGACGAAGGGTGTAGCCCTTACACCCCGCCTTAGTGCCTTAGCACCTGGAATGAGCTGAGGAAGATCTCAAAGCCGAGCTTGATGAAGCGCAGGGCACCCCGGGCCTGTTCCTCTGTTACCGGAGCAAACACCACCTCGTGGACGCCCAGCAGGGGCACCAGCGTCAGCGTGGAGCGAGCCAGCCTGAGGGTAGAGGGTGGCAGTGGTCCCGCAGCCCCAGGTCCTCCATTTTGCACCCTGCCCCTTTCCCTCCATCCCGGCCCGGCTCCCTCACCTCAGGCGGTAGTCCGGGCAGCGCAGCTGTCGCGTCCTCAGCTTGGACACAAGGATGCCAAGAATGCGAATAAAGATGAGAAAATTAATCTGCAGGGAGAGATAGAGGCTGAGCCAGCCCCATCCTGTCCTGGGGGACAGAGGGTGGCGCCCCGTTTCCCAGGGTGGGAAATTCCAGAGGGTGGCCTGGAGGACTCAGGGTTGGCCGTACCAAGATGGTCATGAGGATAGGGGTGCGTATGATCCACCAAATGGCCTTGACATCATTCCGCTCCCAGCACCTGGGGAGAGGGGGAGTAGAGCTAAGAGAAAAACCCCTGGATTCAGAGGATCACGCACCCTCTCTCGCCAGCTCCGCCCACTCTCCTTAATGCCACACTCACGTTCCTTTAAAGCCCCGCCCCGCTACTATCCAGGCCCCGCCCCCATCTCGCCCCCTTCCAGAGCACACTCTTTCTTAGCTCCCCATTCCTTTAGATCCCACCCACCCCGTTCCAGTCCCTATGTACCCTCCGAACCTCCCCACCTTTCCATCACAACCCGCCCGAGTCCCTCAAAGCTCCGCCCGCCTCCCAGGCCCCACCCCAGACCCCAAGACTCACTGCGTGTTCTCGTACAGGTACCTGACGATCACCCAGGGAATGACGAAAAACGCGGGGGCCCCTGTGCAGACCCCGACCCCGCCCCCCACCCCGCCGCAGCTGTCAGCGCGCGCACGGGCCCCGCCAGGCCCAAGACCCGCGGAATTTCCCCCGCCGCCGGGGTGGGGAGGCAGAAGCCCAGAGAGGGGAGGAGACCCCCTGAGATAGACCAGCTGGGGAGTCGAGGGAGTGGAGGCGCGCCGGATTGGGCAGGGGACAGGGTCGGGGCTCACCCCAGCCGAGAAGCAGGTAGCAGCGGAAGTGGCCCCCCTCGGAACCTCCCACAAGCACCAAGAGACTGTGTAGGTAGACACCCTCCACCAGCAGCCAAGTGTAGTTGGCACCCACACAGTACTGGGTCACGATCTGGGCCATGCGGCAGGCAGCTAGGTCCTAGGGGGTGGCCGGACAGGGGGAGGGGGCAGTCAAGGCCTTCAGGGTGTCCCCAAGCCGTCCTTCCACCTCCATTTCCTGCCGTCCACTATTCACTTCCCGCTCTGCATCACTAGAGGATGGTGTCTGTGATTGATTTCTCTCTTCTGTTCTCTTCCCTTTGTGAGCTGTCCCGCTTTTACCTCTTTAACAATTGGTATCTTCCATCTTGCTATCAGTTTCCCCCACCCCATGGCCCCCAAATATGGCCTCTCCCACCCCATCGCCTTCTAAAAATTGAACTCAACTACTTCACCTGTCAAAAAGTTTCTCCCACCCCGTCACCCTTGTCCAGCCAGCACAGGGACTCCCCCACCCCATAGCTTCTTCACAATCGACATGGCCCAACTGGCTACCTGAAAGTTTTTCTCACCTGGGCCCCCAGCCTCTAGCCTCCCCCACCTTAGTTTGGCAGTAACAACAAATTGGTATCTACCAAATCCCCTCCCATCCTGCCACGCCCCACCTCCAGTAGGGGACTCTCTCATTGGTGGAGAAGTCCAGGGACGGGTGAGATAATGAGAGCTAAGCAAGGGGAAAATCTCACATAGGAGGTGATGGGGTGGGTGATGGAGGAGGCTGAGTTGGGAGGGCCCCTCTCCAAATGTGTTTGGAGAGGTCAAGAGAGATAAACTGTTGATAGTGTAGAAAGTAGTAAATGGACTGGGAACTTCTTGGCCCCACCAGAGGAGGCAGAATCCCAATTTGAGAAAGAGAAGGATGCTGCTCACCAGGTTCCACAGGACAGGGGCCTGGTCCCCAGGGTAGGGGCCAGGTGGAGGTAGCAAACGGTCTCGGGTGAGGATGGCCGCCGCCCGCAGCATGGAAGATGTGAACAGGTTGATGTGGATGTAGTTGCGAGTGCAGCGCAGCCTCCTAGGGGATTGGGGATGCAGTCTGGGGACCCCTGGATACCTACCTGTCCTTGGCCACACAGATCCCCTTAAGTCACCTCCCCGCCCTTCCCACAGAACCACCATTAGATGCTTGTCACTAGTGAAGCCTGACCACCCCATCTTACTGGGCAAACTGAGGCCCAGGCTCTGCAGCTGTGACTCAAGGCTGGAGGTCTCACCTGAAGAAACTTAAGATGAGCAGGGCTAGCAGCAGTGTGGCCAGGGACAGGGAGTAGCCCACGGTGTACATGACCTGCATCCGCTCCAAAATCAGCTTTTGATCCTAGGTCGGGGTAGGGGGGTGCAGGAAGGTAGGAGGACACAGGAACACAGTTCAATGCTTTCCCCCCCCCCAGGACCAGAAAGGGACCCTGCTTTTTGTTCCTGCCCAGCATCCCAGTTTTCTCTTGGGGATCCAACTACCCTTGCTTGACTGGGGCTGACTGGCTGATTCCACCCCTGAGTCCAGGGCCGAGCATGTAACCAGCCAATCAGAGCATTCTATATAACCCCCTACACACACAGAGACACACACATACACAGTGATTAGTGCAGGGTGGAGGCATGGCCCAAGGTATCAGTCCTGGGACATTACATTAGAGCTATTAAGAACACAGTTCAGTCTCCCCACAGTCTTGCTTGGTTGGTAGGATGTGAGCCTGGTGCTAATTAATGAGGACCACACTTTCCATCCCACAGAAAAGATGAGCCCAGCACAGAGAAAAACAAAGTCATGGTGTGGTGAGAGACAAAAAGACTCCCAACAACATCATTTGAGCACCTAGATCCAGCTGTGCCTGAAGCTGTTACCTTATACTTTTCAATCACAGAAGTCAATACATTTCTCTTTTTTCCTCCACCCAACAAGTTTAAGTTGGGTTTTATCACTTGGAACCTAGAGTCTTGAATAGTACAAGGGGTTTCAGGCTCAGCCTGAGGCGGCTGCCTTTTCATCTCTCCCTGCACATCCTGACCTGAATCCCTCACTGCTTCTTACCTGAAAGACCCCATTCTTTTCTGGGTTCTCACACTGCGAATGATCTCTCCAAGATCCCCATTGGCCATCACTGCCACACTGGCGGAGGACAAAGCCTGTAGCCACTGTGGGGGAAACAAAGGAGGGGGTCAGAGGCACAGAGAATAAAACAGAAAGACAAAAGTAAGACAAAGGCAGGGGCACCTGGGTGGCTCAGTCGTTAAGCGTCTGCCTTCGGCCCAGGTCATGATCCCAGAATCCTGGGATCGAGCCCTGGGATCAAGTCCTGGATTGGGCTCCCTGCTCTGCGGGAAGCCTGCTTCTCCCTCTCCCACTCCCCCTGCTTGTGTTCCTGCTCTCGCTAACTCTTTCTCTGTCAAATAAATAAAATTTTTTTAAAGATTTTATTTATTTATGTGACAGACACAGCGAAAGAGGGAACACAAGCAGGGGGAGCGGGAGAGGGAGAAGCAGGCTTCCCGAGGAGCAGGGAGCCCGATCCAGGACTCGATCCCAGGACCCTGGGATCATGACCTGAGCCGAAGGCAGATGCTTAACGACTGAGCCACCCAGGCGCCCCAATAAATGAAATCTTAAAAAAAAAAAATAAGACAAAGGCAGAGATAGCCAAAGTGATGTGATGATAATAAACCCTTGTGTATTAATTAAATTAATATTCATAACAAGCCTATAAAAATGGTACTATTGGGCGCCTGGGTGGCTCAGTTGGTTAGGCGACTGCCTTCGGCTCAGGTCATGATCCTGGAGTCCCAGGATCGAGTCCCGCGTGGGGCTCCCTGCTCGGCAGGGAGTCTGCTTCTCCCTCTGACCTTCCTCCCTCTCATGCTCTCTGTCTCTCATTCTCTCTCTCTCAAATAAATAAATAAAATCTTAAAAAAAAAATGGTATTATTATCAACCCCATCTTACAGAAGAGGAAGCTGAGGCATAAAGAAGTTAAATAAGTTGCTCTAGGCCAAATAGCTAGTTAGGACAGGAAGACCAAGACGCCCGGAGGAAATAAGAACCCTGTGGTCCTCAGAGAGATACAGATACAGAGAAGGGGCATTAAGTGACAGAACCAGGGTTGGTCAGGCAGGAGGAGACACTCAGCCGGACAGAGAGGAGCAGGAGATCAAGTGTGAGATCAAGATCAAGCGAACTCTGGGAGTGTTGTCTGGGGCAGGGCTAGGAGCTATTTTTGTCAAGGGAGGGCCCGGGGTCCAGGGGGCACCTCACCATGACGGTGCCAGGGCAGGTACCAGGGGCAGGACGCACGGGCAGTGTCGTTGGGGGCAGCGTAGTCCCAGCAGACGTACATATCGAAGGACGCGTTACAGGCGAGGCCTGGGATGGGCGTGGGGGCCAGACGTCGGGTGGACAGACCGCACACAGCCCAAGGCTTCTCCGCAAGCGCTGCTCTGGCCCCGCCCACCGGGGGGTGGTCCAGTCCCTGGCTCTGCCACAGCCCCTCCCACCAGACCCCAGGCCCCGCCCCACCCGCCATCCACTTCAGGCTCCACCCACCTGATGCAGCCCCGCCCTTTCGAGCTTCTGCCCGGGCCTCTCCCACTAATCCAAGTTAGGTCCCAGTTCCCACCGCCCCCCCCCGCCCCCGGCCCCGCGCACTCAGGTCTAGGTCCGTCCCACCGAGGCCAAGCATCACCCAGGCCTCTCCCGACCCAGCCCACCTCTACCCCAGACTTCCTCAGGCCCCGTCTGTCAGTCCGAGCCCCCCCTCAAGCACACCCCTCTCAACCCTAGTCCTTCCCGTGCCCCCAGGCCCAGCTCCCCAGTCACACCTGCCGGGGGGTCCAAGGCTTCCAGTGTCTCTTGGCACTCTCTGCGGTACCGTTCCCAGCGCTGGTACAGCTCCTCCGCCGTCTGCCCGACAGAGCCTGTCTACGGAAAGAGAGGAGGGAGGACCCCCCCCCACACACACACACCTCGACCGATCCCCGCTCCCAGGCAGCACGGTTCGTGTAGAAACACCCTACAGAGACTTGAAGAGGCTGCCCTGTTTTGTCCGGGAGTCTTGGGTAACTTAGAAACCTCTTCTAGGTCTCTAGGGGTGCCTAGACCAGGGGAGTTGCTGTGTGGGGCTGAAAACCTTCAGGAAAATTAGGGGAAGGAGTGGCTGGAAATCATCAGGAGGATTTGAGAGGGAAAGAAGCGAGACTGGAAACAACTCGAATCTGGACAGGCGGGGCAGTCTTAAAACTCTCTCTGCAGCGGGGGAAGCCTTAAAACTGTCCCCAGACCTCCCTCCTAGCCTTGAACCCCTGTGGCTCCTGGGGTCCTCACCTCCGCCCTCCGGAGCAGCGGCCCCCACCACGAGAGTAGCAGTAGCAGCCGCCAAGGCGGACGGTTCGGCATCGTGAGGGCGGCGGGGCATGGGGGGCGAAGGGTCTGGTCTAGTAGGGGCAGTCCGGCCTGGAGGGTCAGGGCGCAGAGTCAGGAGCCTCGGCCCTCCGCCTCCGGCCCCCGGCGCCACCCGCTCTGAGATTCAAACAGGCGGACTAGTAGGCAGTGGCCCCCCTCCGCCCCCACCAGTGAGGACTTGTGGGGTGGGGGAAGAGTGGGCGAGGCCGAGATCCAGCACGTGATTCCCAGGCCCGCCCCCAACTGTTGCTGGGGCAGCGGCGGTGGAAGGGGGGTGTTTGCTGAGGGCGCGGTTGCCCTTAGAGCTGCTTTGGGCGGAAGCGCTAATGTCACCCGGAGTCTAGACCTAGAGATTCTGGGGAATCTGGGGACTGCCTTGGAGAGGTAAGCGTCGGGCATGGAGCTTGAAATGACCCTCAGAGTTCCCGCTTTACCCGCCCAGAGGGTCTTCAAATGGCAAATAGGATCCCGACCTTAAAAAACTTGCCCGCTGTAGATGAAGCCCAGAGTCAATGGAACAACCCTCTCCCTAGGGACCAGAGAGGAGTCAGATCCTGGGCTTAGGTTTGCAGGGGCCCAGATGCCTGAAAATGGGTCTAACCCCAATCCTCCCCCCCCCCCCACAGCTCCGTGTGGGGAAAGGGGGAAGCAGGGAAGATCTCAGATGGAGCCCCAGAAATGGGCGAAACAGAAATATAGAGACTGAGAGACATACAGACTAAGCAGAATGAGACACACAGCAAGAGACCAGAGAGGAAAAGACAGATAAAAATGTGGGCTAGGAGACAAAGAGGGGACAGAGACATGGAGAGAGACACAGAGAATGGGGCAAGGAGAGATAAAGGGACAGAAACAGAGCCATCCAGAGGCTAAACAGAGATCGGGAGACATGGAGACAGAGCTACAGAGAGAGAGGCGGACAGGAAGATAGAGAGCGAGGGCACAGAGAGACAAAGAGACAAAGGCATGAGCTAAGAAACAGAGAAAGAGGGACCCAGAGGCTTGAGTGGGACATGGGGGCGGGCGAATGGGCTGGGATTGGGAAAGCCCTCACCTGTCCCCAGATCTGCTCTCGATCACTCACTCCAGCGGCTGTCGCCTCCACAGCCTCCGCCTGAGCTCTGGAAGAGGTGACGGCCTGGGGTGGTGGGAGAGGGCGGGGCCAGGGAGCAGAAGGGGGAGCTCTGGGGCAGAGACCCGGCGGGGGGTGGCGGCCAGTGGCGCGCAAGGATCAGAGTCACCCAGGGTCACGTGGAAGAGCAGTCACGGAGCCGGGGTCACAGGCTCTCACACGGTCCCACCCATCCCACCCAGCCGTGGCACCCAGCCGTGGTCACACTCCCCACACAGTCATCCACAGTGACACAGCCGTGGGCCCGGACTTCAGGCAACTCCACTCACAGAGCAACACAATCACGGCTTCCCACAGTTCTCGTGATGCCGTGTCAGCCGCCCAGTCACTAGGTCTCGTCTCCCCACTGGCCTGCGGTCACCCCTGGGTCCCCAGCATCACTCAGCACCAGCTTGGGCATCAAGCAGAGGCTGGAAGAATGACCGTCAATGACATGCACACGTCGATATGCAGTCCCTCACGCAGTCACGTAACCCTTGGCCCACCACCACCTGCGGGGGGGCCACACACAAGGTCACGCAACCATACCCATCCACACTCTCGCAGTTCACACGGTCGCCTGAGCCCACAGTCACGCCCCGACAGCACACCTTCCCCAACTGTCAATAAGGCACACGCTCTCAGGGTGTCATGTCGTCATGCCGTCACCCTTACACGGTCACACCCAGTGCCATGGTGGTAGGGACACACGACTCTGCTCCTCGTCCTCACCCACACTCACAAGTCCCACAGAGTCACACACACATTGCGTGCCACCGTGCCACCACCATGGGGTCCCGCACGCCCCACGGATGCAGAGAGGATCACACACCATCATGCCGCAATCACGCACGAACCCGCAGCCTCACCGGGTCTCGCGGTCACGGGCACCACTGAGTCACACACCTTCCCGCAGTCTCCACTTCTAGTCTCTTTCTTTGCTCTAAAATATGGGGAACGGGGAGCGTCTGTACATGAGGGGGAAGCCTTAGCAACCGAGTCCCGGTTCTCAATGTTCACATCCCCAGTAATACAAACCAAACCACGGATTCATGCACATTAGTCAACTTGTAACACTCAGGAGCATATACTCCCCTGGGACCTAGGGGATAAGTGGGGCAGAGGTGAATGTGCCCACTTGGCAGACGAGAAACTGAGGCCCTGAGGCCCCAGCAGGGGCAGGGAGACTGGGGGATGCAAGGTCCAGCACCAGGAGCTGGAAGGAGACAAGTCTGGGAGGGGGGTAACGGGGGGGGGTCCTGGCTCCCTGGCCTCCAGCTGGCCTCCCTGCTCTCTGCCCCAAATTCCTGGCGCTCTCTGGGTCCTGGGAAAGGCTCGGTTCATGGAGTGGAGAGGGAGAGGGGTCTGAGATAGCCCAGCACCTCGGGGAGAGGCTGGGCTTGGGAGGGAGTCTCTCCTTGGCCTCAAGAGAGCCTGGGGGGGGCCACTCAGCTAGGACTGGGAAGGTGGGGGGAGGCCGGGAAGGGGGAGGGAGAGACTGGGGAAGGGGGAAGCGGTGGAGAGGAATTGAGGTGGTGAGAGAGACAGGAAGAGAAACCAAGGGCCCAGAGAGACCAGAGACAGACAGGAAGAGATGGAGACGAGAGAGCCCAAGAGAGACAGACAGAGAGGAAGAGACCAAAAGAGACAGAGACATAGAAGTACACACACAGAGGGGCGCCTGGGTGGCTCAGTCGTTAAGTGTCTGCCTTTGGCTCAGGTCATGATCCCAGGGTCCTGGGATCGAGCCCTGCATCGGGCTCCCTGCTCTGCGGGAAGCCTGCTTCTCCCTCTCCCACTCCCCCTCCTTGTGATCCCTCTCTCACTGTGTCTCTCTCTGTCAAGTAAGTAATAAATAAAATCTTTAAAAAAAAAAAAAGAAGAAGAAGAACACACACACAGACAGAGACAGAGAGAGGAAGAGATCGAAAGAGACAAACAGAGAAAGATACACAGAGAGACAGAGAAAGACAGAGAGAGAGACACAGAGACAATGAGAGAGAGACAGAGAGATAGGGGAGGAGGGTAGGGACAGAGCACAGTCCACGTTGAGAGGAAGACAGGGGGGATGGAGGGAGAGAAAGCCTGAACGATGGGCGCTGAGGAGAGGCGAGCTAGCCAGGACTCCGCTGTGGCTCAGAGGTCCTCACCCATCCCTGCGGGGGGACCCCCGGGTCAGAACCCAGCACAAGGTGCACAGGAGGGTGGTGCCTGGGTCCCTCATGGCCCTCTGCACACCGAAGCCCTCTCCTGGGTCCTCTGCAGTCTCCCAGGGTCTGGGGAGGGGGGCAGCAGGGACACATGCGCGCGCGCGCGCACACACACACACACACACACAAGCACACAGCCCTCTCTGAATTCCAGACCTCAGTTCTCCGGGTCTCTCTCTCTCTTTCCCATCTTTTATTTTTTTTAAAGTTTTTATTTATTTATTTGACAGAGAGAGAGAGACAGCGAGAGAGGGAACACAAGCAGGGGGAGCGGGGGAGGGAGAAGCAGGCTTCCCGCCGAGCAGGGAGCCCGATGCAGGGGGTGGGGGGAGGGGGGTGGCGGCGCTCGATCCCAGGATCCTGGGATCATGACCTGAGCTGAAGGCAGACACTTAACGACTGAGCCACCCAGGCGCCCCTCTCTTTCCCATCTTTAACCTTTCCCCTTTCTCTTCCCCTTGTCATCTGTCAGCGCTCAGGGTGTCTGTCTCTGTTTCTCTCTCTCCATTGCCTCGGGTCCTGGATCTTTGCGGGACGCTGTTGTCGCCCCACCCCCCAGCAAGGAGCAGGCAGTGCCCCCCAAGGGAAGGAGCTGGAAGGCCTGTGCCTGCCCCACTGGGGCTGTGGCCAAGCCGAGCCTGTGGGGAGCAGGCAGGGGGCCCGGAGTGCCAGCAGATGGTACAGGAGAAATGAGGCAGAGAGAGATGGGGAGAGGGGGCACCCCATGGGGACCGAGGCCAGAAATGGAAGGCTGAGGTGGCCCCCTGAGATTCAGGACTGAAGATAGATGAGGCCTGAAAGACAGAGACCCACAGAGACATACACTTCGCGCGCACACACAAATAGGATCCAGAGAAAGCAGGAACCCAGAGACAGAAAAGAGGCAGAGATCCGGAGACAGGGGCCTCAAGAGACAAACACAAACATGGGATCCAAGCGAGAGACAGAGACAAAGACCCAAAGAGAGACCAAGACGTAAAGACGTGAAACCCAGAGAGAGACAGAGACATGGAGAAGCATAGAGCCGGGAAACAGGAAAGAACAGAGACAGAGACCCAGAGACAGGTATCCAGAGAAAGAGACAGACACAGGGATGAAGAGATGGTCCAGAGAGAGAGATTTGGAATGCAGATAGATGGGGATGGGGGTAAACTCTCCCAAAGACACAGAGATGAGGCAGAGATGCCCAGCCCCCTCGCCCTCTTCCGGGAGGGAGGGGGTGCTCCCCCCACACCCTGCAGCTCGTTTCCATAGCGACCTCCCCAGATCCTGAGGGCAAATATTGTCCTGGCTAGAAGCAGTGGGGCTGTGTTGACATAATCTCCTGCTGGTGGGGTGGGGGCTCCAGGGGCCCAAGAGGCCGGGCTGGGGGGCAGGAGAGCAGAGGGGCTTTCAGCCAGGGCCCTGCAGATAGCTCCAACTTCCCCCCCACCTCCCCAAAGCAAGGTGTAAACCTCACAGCCCTGGGAAAAGGAGCTGAGAGTTTCAAAACTGCAGCCCTCGCTGCCCCCTGGTGGTGGCGGGCCAGCCCTGAAGCTCCTTTCCTAGCATCAAGAAGAGTAGGCTGGTCTGGGCATTTTCCTCCAGATTTCTAGAATCTTCCCCCACAGCTCCTGCTCTGGTCCAGGGCCCCTCTGTCCCCAGTCATACCCCCCTTTTTTTTCCCACCTGCAACCCCCCTCCCATAGGACAGTTAGGCAGCCAGAGTGATGATGCTAAAGCACAAACTGCCCCCATCCCTCTCTAGCTTAGAACCTGCCATGGCTCCCCAGTGCCCTCAGGAGAAAGCTTGGGCTCCCCTCCATGGCCTCCAAGGTGCTTGCTGAGCTCCCCAGCCTTCTCTCTGAGAAGTCCCAGCTCTTCAGACCCTTCCTGGGCCCTCGTCCTTTGTTCTAGCAATATTCTCTGCCTCAAGTGCCTCCACCGAATTTTTGTTTTGTTTCCCAAACCTGCCTCAAAGTTAGCTCACTCACTCATTCATCCATTCAACCAATAACTACTTCCTCTCCCGGACTCTGAGCTCTGTGAGGACAGGATCCCGGCTCTCTCAGTGGCTTGTGGGACCCCAGCATCGCCCAGAGCAGGGTTCGGCCCAGAGCAGGGTTCTATTCATTTTACTGGCACTTATTATGTATCAGGCCCTGGACTCAGCAATGCTGGGGGTCCCAGGGCCCCAGCCCTCCTGCCCAGCCCAGTCATAGACCCAAATAGAGAGACAGACTAACAGAAGGAGAGGGAGAAAGAGAAACACAAAGAAAGAAGAAAGAATCAGGAAGATGGGAAATAAAGCTGATGGAAAAACAGAATGTAGGATCAGAAGTAGGAGTAGCAGAGAAGGGAGGTCACTTGCTCAAGGCAACATAGCTCATAAGTGATGTAACCCATTTCCAGAGACATAAAGGGAGACAGAGAGAAGAGAGAGAAGTGGCCCAGAGAAGGAAACCTAGAGGCAGAGAGAAAAGAGGAAGCCAGACTGGGAGTCCTGCCCTGTCCCCCCAGCGCAGAGCTCCCTCTTCCCCATTCCCCTCCGCCCCACTTCCAGGCTTTTGACATCTCCCTGCAAAAGCACTTGTAATAAAACTAGTTCCAGGGACGCCTGGGTGGCTCAGTCGGTTAAGCGTCTGCCTTCGGCTCAGATCATGATCCCAGGGTCCTGGGATCGAGTCCCGCATCGGGCTCCCTGTTCTGCGGGGAGCCTGCTTCTCCCTCTGCCTCTGTCTCTCTCTCTCTGTCTCTCATGAATAAATAAATAAAATCTTAAAAAAAAAAAACAACTAGCTCCATTAGCTGTACCCAAAAGCCACTGTGCTGAGCACTTGACAGGCCTGAGCTCACTGAACCTGCTCTTCTCCCCTGGGAAGTGGGTGCTGGAATGGCTCTCATTTTGCAGAGAAGCAAGCTGTTGGGCCAAGGTCACCCATCTCACATGGATCCTGACCCCTGGAGGGCAAGGACCGACTCATCTTTGTGTGTCACCCCCTCCCACCCCCCAAATACACACACACATACACACACACAAGCACACAACTCACCTGGCTGACCTCCTCTCCCTGTGGCTCCACACCCCTCCCCCAACACACAGACCTTGCAGGATCTGAACTCTTTGTTTCTATCAATAACACAGCCAGCTGTGATCAAAGAATGATAATGGCCCACATCTACTTTGCCCATCACTTTGAACTCATTATTGACCTTGGTGCCTTTCACAGTAGGTGTTCCCTGAGAAATGGATGGGAGCTAGCATTTACAGGTGCCTATGTGTGCCTGCTACTGTACTCATGTGTGATTTACATCTGTGGCCTCACTGGGGCTCACGGAGGATACAGTAACAAACTACAAGCATCTCCCCACATCTTCGAGGCCCTACAGGATCTGGTGGGTCCGTCACCTCCCTGACCTCATCTACCTCCTGCTCTCCTCTGCCTCATCAGGCTTCTTGTTGCCCCAGGAATATGCCACACTCATATCTATCTCAGGATCTTTGCACCTACTGATTTCTCTGCCTAGAAAGCTTCCCCCGCCAACTTCATGCGTGATTGCTTCCTTGTCATTCACATTTCTGCTCAAATGTCACCTCCTCAGAGAGGCCTTCCCTTACCAGCTCCGTGCCTGTTTCTTCATCTGTAAAACCGTGGTGAAAATAGGGCTCGTGGTGAAGATAACTGGGTGTTTGACATGTAGTAGGTGCTCAATAAATGTTAGTTATTATTAGTTAATTGTTTTGTGTATGGTGGCTTACCTCTTCCGTCACCCTGCAAGATCAATGAGAACAAACTCTGGCACTGACTTGGTTACTACTGAAACTCCAGCACCTAGCACAGAGCTTGACACACTCTAGATGTTCAGGAAACATTTTTGTTACTCCTTTTTAAATCAGTAAACA